TCTAACTATGCCCTTTTACTATGAAAATCTACTTTTTTTCTTATTTTAATATTACAAAAGGACAAAAATTAAATACCAAAATAAAAACAAATACTGTAGTATAGCAAAAAATTATATACTTAAAAAGCATGCACGCAAATACTCATAATCCTAAAACTTTCCTTTTAAACCAGTATAAACCTTTACATTTACATCAGAAAAAGCCATGCGCTACGTTGCTCATCAACAGTCTTTGTTTCAATTTGGTCTTAAACTTTTTAAGCGTTGCAATTGTTTTAAAATCATTAGTTAATATTTTATTCCTTACTTTTGGTCCTCTAGTAGAAATTGAAAATTTAGTAACTGCAAAATAATTTTTGGGCTGATGGTAGCTGTTATACGAGTATCTGGTTAAGTATCTGTTTTGATTTATTTTAAATAGCGGGTTAAATATTTTAAGAGATAAGTTTTTATTAATTTTAAACATAAATATAAGAAGATGGTAGATAATAAACAATGCTTGGGAATGTGTAAAACGTCCCACATTGGATATGATTCTGATTGCATGTTTTTGTTTGTTAAAAATTTTTTTCATTTTATTTGTACTGCACCAAGCAATGCTTGCATAATTGAGATGACAATGAATGAAAGAGAAATATAAAAATTTTAAGCAATATGGATTTAAAAAAAGGTTTTGCTCTACAAATCAGAGCGATGTTCTTAGAGATTTTACTTTCGAGATTTATCAAGCAGAACACCGAGAAATTTCAAAGTGATTTCTCTTTTTACGTCTTGATTGTCAATACAGAGTTTTGGAAGTTTTAAAGGAATATCATCTCGATCATGAAAACAATGGAAAAAAGTATATTTCGTCTTGGTTATATTTAGTGATAATCTATTTGCACTAAACCAATCAGTAAGATTTATTAACTTTTTGTTTACAGATTTGAACAGAATGTTTATATCATTATATGCATAGAATAGGTTTGTATCATCTGCAAATAAAATTGTATCTAGTTCACTGCATACTTTACTTAAATCATTGATATAGATGAGAAATAGGAGTGGCCCCAATATAGAACCTTGAGGGACCCACACATTATAATCGTGGTAACTTGGTATATCGTGATATCATGATATCTTGGTATATCGTATTTCAAAGCTACTTGCCTTTAAGTAATTAAACCATTCTTTAAATCTTTTAATGCATTGTCTAACTGTTCTAAAGTATAATTAACATATTTTCTTTTTCCACGATTTGGCTTGTACTTTTGTGGCATATTTAAACTAAGAACTAAACAAATTTCACTATCCTTTTATACTGATTTAGTATTACTAACTGTTATACTGATTTTTTTATTATTACTGTTTTTCTATTACAATACTACTACAAAATTTATCATTGCAACATATTAACTACCATAATATAAATGATCACTAAAAAAGGTTTTCTCTAACACATGGGGTGACTTCAGCCCGGGCTTATGTCACCCTATGTAGTGGGCCAAAGACAACATATTTTTTTGAACCTCAATTACAAATAAAGTAATAAACTGTAAAGTTTTTAAAACAAGATAGAGTCAAACAGTAATGGTTTAAAATTAATTCAGTGTATATTCCAGTAAAAACCTTTCTCCAGGTACTGCTATCGATGTAAAAGTTTACACACCTAAAAAAATTAGGATTTTGGTGCTTCTTCTAAAGTACAATTTACAATAATATCACAAAGACTCGAGTTAAGTAAACTTAGTTAGACTAAATAAATAATAAATTTTCCACTATTTGTCACAAAACATTAACCGGCATACCTTGAGGTTTCGATTTTAAACAATTTTTAAACAAAAATTTTGCTTAGGCTAAAGTCATCCCGTAGGGCCTAAGCCACCCAATCTTACGGTATAATATTTGTTACTTTGAACTTATATTTACCTTTAAAAGCAATTGCTCATGTAGTTTTTTACGCCACTGACTTTTCTCTTTTGATTTTTTATATATTTAATTGTCTCAATTTTATCAACATGTCAGACTTTTCATCTATCTTATTTGTTTGAGCATATAATTATTTGAGCTCCATAGTTGGAATTTTTTATTAAAAATATAGGTTCAACTTATATGAAAACTTATATGTGCTTTATTTTTACAACTTTTTGGGAAAGTACACCCAGACAGCTTATTCTCACATAGAAGTATGTATGAGAACACGTAGTGAGGTCCATAAGTTTATCTAATTTTAATATAAGTTCTACTTTTAATTTTAATTTAGTTTTTCCTCACGCAACATTTTCGACTTTCTCCCCAAGAGTTTTTATTTAACAATATAACGATTACTTACCAATAATAACTGGTTGTTATAACTTTTTGCTTTTCTCCATTGAGCAAAAACAAGTGGAACTAGATCGCAAGATCTCTGTTAGAATATTTGTTTTGGTGTATATTCTTTTGTTCTTTTAATAAAATTCCTTTTTGAATAACGGCTGTTTGTAGGCAGCTCACTAGTAATAAAATCCTTTCCAGGTTCAATAACTATGAAATTCTAGTGATGGATGAATGTTTAGTCCTTAGCTTTTGACATAATTTACAAAGAATTTGATTAAATACCAAGTAACGAACTAAATAATATTAGGCTATAATCTTATAATGATTTTAAACGGCGGAGAGAAAGTCAAAATATATTCAGTACTAGACTCTTTTTGAGAGCCTTATACATAATAGCGGGTTATATTTATTTTATACTAATTAAATTTTTAATGTCTAATTAAGAAAATTTGGGTATCAAGACATTTTCTAATCAATAAGTGTTCCATAGCAAACCTACCTTGAAATTTAATTTTACATAAGAATATACTTTTTCCTAAGCTTAAATTTTATTTTTTCCAAAAACATTAGAATCTCACTGTACCCTATTAAGGGGGCACAACCCTATTAAAAAAGTGTAAATTACTGAAAAAATTAATTTTTCAAAAATACACTTATTTTAACTCAAATTTATCGTAGAAACTATTGCTGATTTTTAAATTTTTTCTATTTATGCTGATATTGGTCAAAATTTCATTTATTTAGATGTTCATTATTTAAATTACCCTAGCAACGCGCATAGCAACCGTTTTTAAATGTTGTTTTTCATCTTTTTAAGCCCTTTTTTCAAAGTTGATCTTTGCTTTTTGTTTGTACAAATGGCTTTTTGTTTGTACAACGACGTAATAAGCATAATGGAGTTATTTAACTAATTAAACTACTGATTTGACAGACTGGTCTTGTTAGAATGTTTGTTTATGTTTTACAAAATTGGTTTTTATTTATTTTTTTATTTTTCAGTATTATAACAAGGTAGTATGCTTTATAAGATAATTTCTATGCTGTTTTGCTAAGTATTTTTATCTATCTATGCTATTTATAAGCTTTCTATCTATTGCTTTGTATATTTATGTAACTAGTATAACTAAAAAGTTGAAAAATATTTACAAATTGAAATGGAATCATCTTGTAAGTTTCGATCTAAAAGACATAAAAGTAGGAAGTTTTATGGCAACAAACTCTCTAACAATTTTACTGAAAACTCTAAAGTTACAAATAAAGAAAACATAGCAACAACAGTTTCTTATACAAAGTTAAATGGTTCAATGGTTAAAGTTGTTGATAACTGCTGTTCAAAAAACATTACAGGCAACCGAATAGTTGATATGGAATTGTTAGCTGAAACTTTTAAGATTCTTTTGTGCCCAGAGTGTTCACATAATTCAGTAAAGCTTAATCAAAAGCAGAAATTAGGAATTGCTTTCGAGTCTTTCAATGCAACAATATGGAATCGTGTTCCAAAAGATGCATTTGTAAAACTAGTACAGTTGGAAATTGCTGCTTATGATGCAGTTGCTCATTTTAATATTGGAAATTTAGCAACATTAAAAATATATGATAAAATGCAGATGGAGTGAGGCAGCTACACTGAGCTTAGTTGCAAAGAAAGAAATCGTTCACGATTAAAAAATGCAAGTCGAAAAAATGGTGAGAAGTATAGGATGCGTCGCAAGTTTCTGCGTGGAGCTAAAAAGAGTAAGAGAAGTGAAAATAAAAATAATGAGGGTTTGTCATATGGAGCAGGAAGTTTTAAATGTTTATATCAAATTAGTTTTATCATACCTGTTTATATGAACATGGCATTTAACAGGAAAAAGTAAAAAATTTTTACCATTTTAGCTTTTTATTCATTCGCAAGTAGAAAAGGGTTATTAAATCTGACTTTTGATAAATAAAGTACATCTATTGTTTGAATATAGTCTACAGTGCAATACTTAATAGATAAAAAGGCTCCAGATAAATATAATTATTATTAACAATAGAGTTAACATAATTTTTTTTTTTAAACCTTTTTTTCTAAGATTTCCACATTTTCTTAACTTTGCCTGACTGTGGCAAAGATATTTCAAAAACGGTTTGATTAAAACTTCTCATATTTTGACAGATTGTTTATTATGTACAAGGTTGTGCAATAAACCTCAAAATTATAAGAATATATGTGTTAAAAATAAAATATAACGATTTTTCGGTCATTATGGGGGATAAAAATATCATTTTTTTTGTATCCTTTAAACAAATAAAGCACGACCCCAAGGAATAAGTAAGTTGTTAAGTTTTTGAGGTTCATTGCATACTTCTAACATCAAGCTAGTTAAATGCCAAATTTTATTCTATGTGACCTTCTGCATTTTGAAATATTTTTGCCACAAAATGGTCAATTTTTAAGTTTTTGCCCCCTAAAAATTGCCCCACAGGGCAACCCCTTCTTTTTTTTTAATTTTTTTTTTTTTTTTAATCTTAGTTTTATTATGAATTTACTTAATAAATAAAAAAAATTATTTAAATATCAAAATTAAAGATTTTTTTATTTATGGGGTTGTGCCCCCTTAACCATTTATTTGGTTATTGCAAAATTTAATTAATTCCGACTTTTAAACATTTTACAGTTTAGAGTTTTACTAATTTTTCCGGGTTGCTGGCCACCTTGATAGAACAGTTATTAAAAGTAATCAATTAATCTTTAATTTTTTTGTAACAGGATGCAAAAAATCAAAAGCAATATTTTGCCGACTTGACGTTGGCTAAGTACAGCACTCTTGTGCCGACCTAATATCCTTCGGATTTTGCGGACTGCATTATTATATAGCTTATTTAAGAGAAAATATAGTTCGTTCAAGATTTTTCTAACTTTTTCACACAGCATGCGATATTTCTTTTTGTGTTTATTGTGAACAGATGGTTAATACCTAAAATTTCAGTTTGTATTTTATCAACAGCATAATAAAATTCTAAAGCTTCCTTATACTTTCCCGATTCTTCCAAATAGATGGCAATATTATTTTTTGTAGCCATTGTTGATCGATGGTTGATACCTAAAACTTCAATATTCATTTTATCAACAGAATAATAAAACTCTAAAGCTTCGTTAAATTTTCCTATCTTGCACAAACACTTTGCAGTGTTATTTTTTGTTTCTGTCGTTGATGGATGGTTGATCCCTAAAATTTCTGTTTTTATTTTATCAAGAGAACAATAAATTTCTAAAGCTTCATCATATTTTCCTATTTCAAACAAACAGCTTGCGATATTACTTTTTGTTGCGATGGTTGATGAATGGTTGATACCTAAAATTTCAGTTTGTAATTTATCAACAGAATAATAAATTTCTAAAGCTTTGTTACATTTCCCCATTTCGCATAAACACATTGCAATATTATTTTTAATTGTCATTGTGGATGGATGGTCGATACCGAAATTTTCAATTAGTATTTTTTCAACAGGATAATAAATTTGTAAAGCTTCATTATATTTTCCTATACCAACAAAACAGATGGCGATATTATTTTTTGTTACTAATGTTGATAAATGATTGACACCTAAAATTTTAGTTTTCATTTTTTCAACAGAACAATAAATTTCTAAAGCTTCATAATATTTAAGCATTTCGCACAAACACATTGCAATGCAATGTTTTGTTGTCATTGTTGATGGATGGTCGATACCTAAAAATTCAGTTTGTATTTTATCAACTGAATAATGAATTTTTAAAGCTTCTTTATGTTTTCCTATTTTGTACAAACAATTTGCAATATGATTTTTTGTATCAAGAGTTAATCCATCATTTTCTCCATAGGTTTTTACATTAAAACTTTCAACAGCTTTTAATATTTCAATTGTTTCTAGAAATAAACTCTTACGCGTTAATAAATGATTTATTTTACCAGCATAACGATGAAAGGTTTTAGACATCCTTTTTATGTTGTTACGAAACATGTGAAGAAAATGAATAACAAAATGGTTTCCGTCATCAACGTGATCTTTTGCTTTTTTGAACTCAAACTTGAAGTAACTTTCAATCAAAGCAAGATAAATATTAGTAGTCGAATTTTTTATTTGAAAATATCTACATGATAACTTTGTCAGTTCGTGTATTGTATATTTGTCATCACTAAGACAATCTAATAACGAATAGTTTTGCAGTAGTCCGATTGCGTCATCTATCAAGTATTCTTCACTTATTTCCATGTATTTTGAAATTTGGATTAAAAAATGTTTACTTATGTTTTGACCATCGCAATAAGATAGACAGTTTATTATTTTTAAAGGAATGATTTCATTGTTTTCTAACTTTTTTAAAACTAAGTTGATTGCTTTTATAGGGGACTTTGATTCTTCTTCAGTTCGAAATTTTTCATTGTCAAGTATTTCTATAGGATGTAATTTATATCGACTTATATATGTTTCAATTGTTACTTTATGCATGTTAATATATTTTATCGCCTGATTGATGGCGAATGGGTGAAAACCAAGTTCTTTAATTAACTCTCTCAACTTTTCTTCGGTATTTGTTTTGATGTTATTTTTTATATACGTAAAAGCATCTTCAGGAGAAAAAACGTCAATTAACATCTGATTTACACTATCTGACCACATTCTCCACTGTGAAGTAATCAAGCTAAATGAATTTGGTTTCTTTGAAATGTACATTCTTATATTTCTAACACTTTCATCATCAACATCATCAAAAATAAACAAAGTTTTTTCATTTTTATAATGGCTATGAATTGTTTCTATGACTACTTCTAAATCAAAATAACGACCATTTGAATCTTTGACAACCAATCCTAGTGTTTGACAAAGATTATTTATTGAAGTTTGTAACTTTCCAAATGCTGCATCTATCCAAACAATGTTTTTATAGAAATTATGATAAACTTCGCAGTATTTTCTGGCAATTTGCGTCTTTCCAACACCTGACATTCCATATAATACTAAGGTTGACTTTTTTGTATCTTGTAATTCAAATAAATAATAATGTATTTGACGTAGTTTTTCTTCGCGTAGAAACAAATTTACTGAAGAAGGTTGGGTACCAAATACTAAATGTACATAAAAATATATAATGTTAACACATTTCATTATCGTAAAACAAAAGTTATATATGTATATTTTCATTTTAATTTAAAAGCAAAACACATCTTATTTTGTTTAATGAAAATGTAACATTAGTATATAATATAATAGAAAAAACATAATAGAATCTTTAAAAAAGAAAAAAAAAATTTGCACACAGAACATGGCGGTCACTGGTAGTCACAACATTTGATAATCATGGAAGTCTCATATCAGAACATGGTAGTAACATATCACAAAACAAATTTATAATTTTTAGGTTCCCAAAATTTTTTTTATGGAATTAAATTATATATATTTTGTATTAATTTTCAAAAGATTAATTTTACAATAAAAAAAAAACTCTAGAATAAATATTAAAAAATAGAAGACTTAATAAACAACATAAAAATTTAAAATTTACGATGGAAAAAGAACAAGACATTCAGATTGCTTTTTAAAATGGATTTACTAAGAAAAATCCAATTCATTTTCAACATCAGTTTATCATAAAAAAACTTATAAAGATCTGTTACAATTTTTTTTTAGTTTTGTTCCCTCTAAACTTGGTCTTATAGGTTATTTAATTGATCAAACATATAAAATTAATAATATTTGGCAAGGATTTAATAAAGACAAAAAATCTTACTTTTGCTTTTACAAAATAATCATCTCCACAAAAAATTATTGACTCTAAAATGAACTCGTATATTGAACTGGTATATTGATAAGAAAATGAACCCGATGAATCCGATGGCAAAAAAAAAAAAAAAAGCAGATACCAATTAACTAATTAAAACTAAGTGTTACAGGTCAGGATTAAGATAACAATAATAATAATTCAAATGCTGTTGAGATAAAGCACCAAGCAATATCTATGAAAGCCAACACAATAGTTGTCTAAAAAATTAACTGCAACCTGTTTTTCTTGTTCAATATTATCTGCAAGTTAATCAGCTTAAGTCTAGAGTTAAACTCTTTGAATGATGTAGACTCCACTACCAATTCCGGTAAATTATTCCATCCAAAGACAACCCTGTTTGTAAAGAAGTGTTGTTTACTTTAACAATTTTTAACAGACTCTGATTGAATGCATTTGTATCTGGACTTTCTTCATATCAATAGATTCAAAACCTCTATATAATTTATATTGTTGTATAAGGTCATCTCTTAGTCTTCCAACTTCTAAAGTTGTTGAATCTTATATTTTTAGTCTTTGATTATATCTTAGATGTCTTAATTCTGGTATCAATTTAGTTGCTCTTCTTTGAACTTTTTCAAGTTCTTTGATATCTTTTTTATAATAAGGATTCCAAGCTTCATTCACAAACTCCAAATGAGGTCTAACATACATGCAATAAAGCATTTTTATGAGGTACTTATCTTTATATCTAAAAGTATTATTTAGTATTGCAAACATATTGTTTGCTTTACTGGCAGCATTCCTTAATTGTCTTTCCCATTTCAAATCCTTGGATATATAAATACCTAAATCTTTTTCAAGAGTAGATTTTTCAATTACTTTTAGTTAACCATCACTATTCATGAAATAAGAATATCTTTTATTGCTTGCACCAAAATGCATTATTTTACATTTCTCAAAATTCAAATCCAGTTTCCATTCAACACACCATTCTACAAGTTTTTTTATGTCATTTTGAAATGATTTTGAATCAACCTCCGTATAAATAGGAGCGATTATTTTATTAACATCGGCATACAAACAACATTTATTAAGAAGTCTTGGTAAATCGTTTATGAATATCAAGAAAAGGAGTGGGCCAAGTACAGAACCCTGTGGGACTCCACTTAACACATCAACCCAATTTGACTTGCATTTTTCCATCGCTACTCGTTGTTTTCTATTTAATAAAAATGATTCAATCCATTTATGAGGCATACCAACAATACCAGAACCATAAACCTTACCACATAATTTTATGTGTGATACTGTCGAATGCTTTTTGAAAGTCTGTATACAAAGCGACAATTGGAATACCATATAATAATACGCTTGTTAAGGTATCAAGAAATTCTAGTAAATTCGTTGCGCAGCTCTTACTTTGTAGAAAGCCATGTTGTTTCTTTGCTAATAGCTTGTTTGTTATTAAATGCTTGATTATATTATCAGCAACTATTCTTTTTAATATTTTGCATGGTATTGACGTCAGAGATACTGGTCTGTAATTTGTTGGTTTCAACTTACTCCCTTGTTTTAATTCTTCCAAATATCAGGTAAAGTACCATCTTCTGTAGATTTTTAAAATATTAAATAAAGAGGATGTGAAATTGATGAACTGCATCGTTTTAGAACAAAAGGATGTATTAAATCAACTCTAATTGATTATGATATATCAAGAGCCTTTAATCTTCTTTCTGTAACACTTTGTGTTATCTTAACAGCTTCTAAAATTGTGTTTAGTTGACAGTTACAAGGGTTAAATTAACGCATCGCGATTTGCGATATCTGTTAAATTATCTGGTCTTCAAAGTTTCAGTTTATGGAAAACCACGAAATTTACGGAATAGGCGAATAAACTTTAATTTGTTAGTGAAAATGTTATGAAAAACAAAACAATAAATTTATGACTACAAAAGTAATAACACTACAGTGTTGCTACTTTTATAACACTCTTTTAAGTTACATTTATAGTTTATTGTTTGATCAAACAACACCTAATCAAGATATTAAAAATAAAAATGATTTAGTTAAGTAATTCCAAACTTTAATTAAAGTAGTAATGCGTCTAAAAAAAATACAATGGATATTTAAACAATGTTAAAAACCTCAGCAACTTTTACGAATACATATTTTTATAAACAGTTTAGCATTTTTAAACATCTTACTAACGGTTCGGAAAAAACGCGCGTTCACTTTAAAATCAACCAATAAAAACACTGGTAATTTACTTTCTATATTAAAAGGGGAGGGGGGATGCTAAAAACTTAAATTTTGTTTTATTATTTAATCAATTAAATCATAATAAAAATAATGACAAAAAAATATATTTCTAAATATACTTCTTTATGACTAAAATTTATTAAATTGAACACCTCTGTTTTTAGTTTTAAGTAAATGTCAGTACTACTCTCAGTGGCGAAACTGCGGGGAGAGGGGGGGGAGGGGCTTTGGTTAACAGACAAAAAGTGTCCTATTATTTAACTAATTTTAGGTTGCATGGGCGATATGGGGCTGATTTTGAAAATCGTGTTATTTGTTTATAACAAGTCACTTGTTATAAACAAAAAACTATATCTCATAACAAAAATTCAGTGAAAATTGGCCTTATAATTAAAAAAAATATATATTGGTTACCGATAAATAATAAAACATATATTGTAAATCCTCCCGCTTTTTTTTATTATTTCCTCCTCCCATTTTATACATCCTGACTAAAATTCCCACCCCCACCTACTTTTGTATTAAGCACATTAGAGTAGTCAGTAGCAAAATGCCCCCCCCCCCTCCGCACGATTTTTAAAATGAGCCCCATATCGCCCATGCAACCAAAAATTAGTTAAATAATAGGACACTTTTTGTCTGTTAACCAAAGTACCACCCCCCACCCCCGCAGTTTCGCCACTGAGAGTAGTACTGACTTTTACTTAAAACTAAAAACAGAGGTGTTCAATTTAATATATTTTAGTCATAAAGAAGTATATTTAGAAATATATTTTTTTGTCTTTACTTTTATTATGATTTAATTGATTAAATAATAAAACAAAATTTAAGTTTTTAGCTTCCCCCTCCTCCCCTTTTAATATAGGAAGTAAATTACCAGTGTTTTTATTGGTTGATTTTAAAGTGAACGCGCGTTTTTTCCGAACCGTTAGTAAGATGTTTAAAAATGCTAAACTGTTTATAAAAATATGTATTCATAAAAGTTGCTGAGGTTTTAAACATTGTTTAAATATTCATTGTATTTTTTTTAGATGCATTACTACTTTAATTAAAGTTTGGAATTACTTAACTAAATCATTTTTATTTTTAATATCTTGATTAGGTGTTGTTTGATCAAACAATAAACTATAAATGTAACTTAAAAGAGTGTTATAAAAGTAACAACACTGTAGTGTTATTACTTTTGTAGTCATAAATTTATTGTTTTGTTTTTTATAACATTTTCACTAACAAATTAAAGTTTATTCGCCTATTCCGTAAATTTCGTGGTTTTCCATAAACTGAAACTTTGAAGACCAGATAATTTAACAGATATCGCAAATCGCGATGCGTTAATTCAACCCTTAAGTTATCAATATTTTTGTTTACATCTTTATCTTCTACATATACAGAATGGAAATATTTATTGAATTCTTCAGCAATAGTCATTTGATCAGCGACAATTTTTCTGTCACTGTTCTCGATCAATGTAATTTGGTTTTTTACCAATTTTTTTTCATTAATATACGTATAAAGTAACTTCGGATTTATTTTACAATTGTTAGCTATCTCCCTCTCAAATGACTTAATGTTTTCCTTCAATTCGTTTCTGATTTTAATCTTTAAACAATTATATTGAGTTTTAATTGATTCATGTTCCCAATTGTTGATTTATTTAAAAGCCACATTTTATTTTCAAACTTAATTTTTGATTTTAGAGCAGGAGATCATCCTGATCACTTAACTGCTGGTAATATGTAATCAAGTATAACCTGGCAGATACCTCACTGCCTTGAAAGTCTAACTTAAAATACATCCAGCCTTAGGGTTGTTGGTTGAGTTTAGGCTAGAAATATGTTGCTTCTCATCTATGTTAATGATCTTTCCAACAATCTTACCTTAAAAGTGACTCTATTTGCTAGATAAGACAACCATAAACTTTAGTCAAAAAAGTTATGAGATTTTAATTGCTTAGAAAAATCTTGAATGTGAAAGACAACATGGTGTTCCTGATTAAATCTCTTATTCATCCTTTGTATAGAATATTGTTGCGAAAAAAAGTGGCCGATCAAGCTATGTAATTAATAAATTAAAAAAAAATAATTATTAATTACACCAAATGTTTTTTTTTAAACTAAAAGAACTAAAACATTTAAACATAAATATAGTAAATCATATTTAGTAAAAATTATTTAAATAAAAATTTAAAAACATTTTAAAAACTAAATATTTAATTACCCTTCAAACTGTCAAACTCATTGTTAATAACTTGATCCATATCATTTAAATGGCAACTCTGCTATAAAAACCAGAAAGAAAGCATAAATTTTAGCTGAATATATCATAGTTAAATAACAATATTATATATTAGCTGAATATATAACAATACAATGATATATAACAAAAATACTAGAAGCAAAAAATAACATTTCCTTATGGGTATGAGATGAAACCAAAATTTAAGGACTAGGTTTTGACAGTAGCATAATAATACCCTCCCCCTAATGCAAATTTTTTATCTGTACCTCTAAAAAACCATTCTGCAATTGCCAAATTGTTAACTAGCAATAGATCACTAAGTATTGGTTATTTTAAAAACTGCCAAAAAATTATCACAGCCATTTAAATGATCCCTTAATTTAGAACAAAATGTTCTAAAATTTATTGTTTTTACATCAAACAAAAAATACACATTAACTAATGTGAATAATATTAAAGTTTACTGGTGTGATGGTATCACATTTTTGTGGAATGTTAATTTTAGGCAATTAGGATAATTTAAGTTTAATATATTTTTTAGGTGTAAACACATAAAAATATTTTCAGGTAATTTGGTGGTTTGGATACAACAAACAGAAGTATTTGCTGAAAGGAATAATATAAAGCTGGATTACTTTTTTTCATTCTTCTTAGAAAAACTGCTTTTTCAGTCTAGGATGTTCCATTAAGATAAACAAACTTATATAGGGATCAGATTTAAAGAGTTACGCTAAACACAAAGAAAATGTAATTAGTACACATGACAAAAAAATGAATTAAGTTGATAGTGAACAATGTTTTTTTTTTTAATGTAAAAAAAAGTGTTCTCATTAACTAGGAAAATCATTCAAAACTTAATTGACGTCACTTATTTTCTTTATTAGATTTTTTATTACATCAATTATATTGTTTTTTTAATTTATTTTTATTATTCAAAAACTCTTTATTACCATTTTTACTGATGCTATCTTAATTTAGGAAAATTACTGAAATATTTGCAAAATAATAGATATAAATATTTGCATAATAATACACATAAAAATAAGTTATTAATGTTATTTATAAAGTACACTGAAAAAAAAAAAAAAAAAAAAAAAAATTAAACTTTTCAATGAAAATGCATCATTTATGTTACATTGGTGTATAACATAAAAGAGGATTATCTTATTTTTATGCAAGGCTCAAATCAACACAAAAAACTCTAATTGAGAAAAACAAAAAATTTTTTTGACACACCCCTCTCCTTCACTCCTAGCACCGCTTTGCAGTAAGGTGGGGGAGGGTGGGGGTTGCATTGGTATAAAATTTAAATTACTTTTTAAAAATAAAACACGTCTTATCTTTAAAGAGTATCAAATTTTTATTATCAAATTGTAAATTTGTTATTGTTATTGTAAAAAACTATAAAACAACAGTATATAAAGTATCCTTATATAATATATAAAGAGCTTGTTTAGTAATAAAAAATAGAATAAAAATTTGGTTTAACAAATTAAATTATATTTCCATAGTTCAAGTATATACTTAAATTATTTTTTCAGAACTTTTTTTTTTGAACAAACAATTTTTTTTTTAATTTAAACCTTTTATAATTTAATTTTTGTTTTAATGTTTTAATCACTAGTTTTATGTTTGCAATAGAATGCTTCTGTTTTGAAACTGTTTTCAAGAAACCAAAAACAATGACAGCTTTACAAAAAATATTTAACTATTCAAGATGTTTATGATTTAAATAAAACTTCCTTCCTCACTTGCACCATCTTCTAAATCTGATATTTTTACTGTGGCTAGATCTGTTTGAATTTCAGGAATGATCAATATGCTACTGGGTATTACAAACATCGCTGCAATTAATTTTATAAACAATGTTGACGAGCATTAAAATTTTTTGTTTAATTTTAAATTTCATTTTCAAAATTATTCAAATAAGAGAGTTTTAGAAAACTTTTAAAATTCTCTTTAAATTTTTAATTCTTTAAATATTTAAACTTCTTTTTAAAAAATTCCTAAAAAAACAACTTGCCTATTTATAAAAAATGTTTAATCTTTAAATAATTGAAAATATATGAAAAAAAAAGGTATTGTGTATTTATATTTTATTTGAGATTTCTTATTAAATTCATTTTTCGTTTGAGGCTTATTGTGAAGCTTATAATATACATATAAAATGTAAAAAGAAACATTTGTTTGTTGGGCAAGGTTTTGTGGTCTTTGAGTACAATATATTAAGTATGAGTACTGAATATTAAGTAAATAGTTGAGTAACTTAACTGTAGTAACTTGGTTGTTTTGATTTAGTTTATAGGTAAATTTACAGTGATGTACTTAATCCATTAAGTAAATTAAGCAGTTTAAAAAAGTTAAGGTCCTTTTTTTAATAATAAAAAAAAACTTTATGACTTCAAATACATTTTAATTATGATGAAAATATGAAAGAAAAGTAGTGAAAGAGGAGAATTATGATGCTAGAGTATATTTGATTAACATGAATGATACAAACTCAGAGACTAATGTGAAAATAAATGATTACAATATAAAAATGCATGTTGATACCGAAAGTAAAGTCACAATCATGTCTAAACTTAAATTACAAAAATGTTATCTTCAACTAAAATAATGTGATGGTAAAACAATTTGAAGCAACTTTGGAAACTGAGAAAATCTGTAAATGATAGTTCTATTTTCTGATTTGTAATCTGCTCCACAAGCAGATTACAAGTTTTTACATTTAGAGTTTTTTGCCTTTGTTTACAGAAGCAAAAAATGTTTATCAGAGAAAAATTTTTTAATTTAATGACCAGGGATTTCATTTTACTAGTTTGTTTAATTTCTATTTTATCCCATGTTGATCTTAACTACCTTGTAAGAGACCTTCAAATATTCAAAGAAAAGACCGCTACAGTGCTTCAAGCAGTGGAATCTTCTCTTGAACCAAGATAATAGAAAATTCTACTGTTTAATGCATCTGGAATCTTCTACAACAGGAGAAACTCTTTGCTCTAAAGAATTCCATCTGGTGGAAACAAATGAATCACACCACTTGTGGTTGTTAGAAAAACAGATGGAGATTTATGCATTTTCGCGGATAACAAAAAAGGTGTTTAGTAAAAGATATGATCAGATTCATACCCTAATCCAATAATTGAGACTTCTATTTACATATTATACCTTTGTGATCAATTTTTCATTCTATTATACATAGAATGAAAAATTGATCTCAAAGGTGCTTATCACCAAATTGAGACGGACAAAGAGACAAAAGAAATAGCAACAGTCACTACCTCAATAGGATTAAGATGGACATGCTTGCCTTTTGCAACAAAAACTGCAAGTGCAATATTTCAAAGAGTGAAAGAATCTGTTGTTAGTGATATTAATCCTAATGTTTATATTTCAAGATGATATGTGTTGGTGGTAAAAATGTTGAAGAGCTTAAATCTAATTTGAGTTAAATTTTGAGCAAATTGAAAGAATCAGGGATGAGTATAAATGAGAGAAAATTGATGAATGAGACAAAAAGTCTTTTATTTTTAGGATACAAATTGTCAAAAAAGAGTTACCCTTACAGGGCGCTACAAATTGACGTACGTGCAAACGTTTGTTAAAAAAAAAATAACATAAAAACGAACGTTAAGACCACTTTCCACAGACGAAATATTCGCGAATTTTTTTTGCGTTACTTCATTTTACGTTGTCAACAATAAAAATGGTAGCAATATGTTTGCGCTGTATGTTTAACTAAAAGCAATTATTAATTTTTTAGCATACTTTCTACTTTGAAGCATGTGGAAATTTTTTTCCATGCATTAGTTTTAACATTTCTATCTTTGTATATAAGATGTGATATCATTAAAAAAATGTTACTAGAACGCCAGGTTAAAAATTTTGTTTTTTTGAGAAGTATTTTTAAGTTTTGCTGAAATATATATAACCTAATAGAATATATAGAATTGTTTTGTTTCTTGTAGTTTAATTTATTATTATAGTAATAATATGATATTTTTAATATTTAAACACTTAATATAATAAAAATAACATATTAAATATAATAAAAATAACTAAAAATATAAAACTAAACATGATATTATTTTTAAAGATTTAAAAAAAGAAACGTAAATACAACTTTTACTCTATTTTTATTTCCTCAAGTTAATACATTTTTTTATGAGTAAATAAACTTAACATACTAAATTAAGAAAAATTCACTATTTTGTATTAATAAATAAACATTTACAATCATTAATTTATTGCATATTAAGGCTGTTTTCCACAAGACAAGATTATTTCGCCAATAAGCATGCGCAGATGCTTATTGGTGAATTGATCAGCAATATTAACATTTCTGTTAATATTGCTGATCAATTCGCTGTACCAAAAATAAATTGATCTAACGATCAACTTTTTTTTTTGCTCCAGCAAATTGATTGAGAATAAACCAATCAAAAAAAGCAAAGCACATTGTTTTTTTAAAATGGCAACAATAACAACAAACAAAAACAACAATATACAAAATACTCAATTTGGTGTTCTTATTTACTAAGAACTCACCCTGAAAATTGTCAAGCATTAGCAAATTCATCAAATAAAAATGAATTTATTGATGCTGTCAATTCGAAAAGTTTCACTTCACAAGAAAGTTTATCTTCTTTTCGAATTGAAAAATCTATAACTTCTTGCAATAACAATAGTGTTTCAATAGTGTTTCTATAAGAAGTTAGCAGTTTTTCAATAGAAGTGTTTCTATAAGAAGTTAGCATTAACTTCCTTAAACATTCTAAAAAAATACAATACAGAAATACATCACAATTTTTTATATTTATATATACATATATTTTTTAAAAGCATATGATAACGAAAATATTAGGGCAAGAAAAAAAAAAGTGCAAATCAAAACAGCGTATTGTACGATTTTTTTTGTCTTGTGAAAATGACCTTTAGTTATCATAAATTTGCACGCACTCTGCAAATGCATAAAATATTGTATTGAAATAATAATCAATTAATAAATTCAATAAGCATGTTTGATATATCTAATCATTCACTAACTAGAATAAAAGTTATTTGAAAATAAATCCCCCTTATAATTTAGTTAAAGATTATATGAATAAAAAAAAATCAAAATAAAACTCCCTTATTTGACATATGGGTCAAATCATTATATTCTAACCAATTTGAAGAAAACTTTGTGGATCACCATCTCTGATTTTTCTGATTTTTACATATTAAGATCTCTTAGATATTAAGACTTCATTCAGGGCGCGATTATGCGCGCTCTGCATGAAGTCTTAGAGAGTGATATTCAGAGTTGGAAATTGATTGCCATGGGGCCATCCATTAATTACGTATGCAAGTATAGGGAGGTGGTCACTCAAAAGCATACCAGTGCATAGGAGGAAAAGAATGGATGATTTTTTGTTTGAATTTTTTTCATGTGAAGTCTGGGAAATCAGACAAAAAAGCGTTGAATTAACATGCTTGATTGCAGACATTTTAAACAGAAACATTTTTAATTTAGTTTAAAATAAATTATAGTAAAAAAAATTAATAAAAAAAAAGATTTATGTTTTTATAGAATAGAAAATTTTAATTAAATAATTCAATCAAGTTTTAACTTTTTAATTTAAATTTTCTATTCTCATTAGGATGAAACGTTTTGAAAATAGTAAACATTCCATTCTATCATTCTATATTCATTTTTTTTCATTCATTGTAAAAAATAGAAAACTGCTTTCTAATTTAAACTGAATAAATATTTCTTAATAAATATATAATAGACTTATACTAATATAATATATATTAGTGTAAGTATATATATACTTATACAAATATAATATATAAATAACTTATATACTGACGTATATTTTGAAAAATGTCTTTGTGAAACTAGTGACATAACATTCTTTCTTTTGATGTTTGTAAGCATGCTTCCAAAAGTTTCAATTCAAAATTATATAACGATTATATTTGTGTTTTAGCAAGATTTCTTGTAGTACGTAAAGTTATAATAAGTTATAAAACATCAAAAACAGCATCATGCTAACTAATTTTTCTTTTTTGTAATATTTCGATCTAATTTGTATAGACCATCATCAGACAAAATCATTCAAAATTTTACATCTGATGATGGTCTATACAAATTAGACCGAAATATCACAAAAAAGAAAAATTAGTTATTACGTTGCTGTTTTTGATGTTTTATAACTTATTATAACTTTAGGTACTACAAGAAACCTTGCTAAAATACAAATATAATCGTTATATAATTTTGAATTGAAACTTTTGGAAGCATGCTTACAAACAACAAAAGAAATTATATTTGCTGTGCATATTATTTATAACTTTTTTTATTTTATTTTAAACTGTGTTTAGCTTTAACTTTTTTAATAAATAGACTTTATTTTAAGCTTAACTGATTTGAAGATACCAGTGAAAATATTTAGTTTTATATTAACTTGTATTTGACAAAAAAATGTTTGATATTCCAACATTTTAATGTTTTTGAATATTAAATAGTCCTTAATAGGGCACCATTCCGATTCTAAAAATAGATTTGATAAACTTTTGTCAAAGCTTTCAGAGATTGAAATGAGGACAAACAAAATAAAATGCTAAGAAACTTACCACCAATTCTGAAAAAAATGCATATAAAAGCGCAATAAAACAATTTTATAAGGAGTTAATCTCATCAGATTTTTGCAACCTTGAATGTTTGCCAGCTGGTATAATTTAAAAAATAGGAATAACTGAAGATTCGATGACAAACTTGGAAAAAAGAATAAAAGAAAAATTAAGCTTTAGAAATTATATATTTAAACAAAAAGTTTACATCTTGTAGATTTTCTTGTCGAAAATAATAAAAATAATATTTAAAAAATGGTGCAAATAATTGTATTATCATCATAAAGAAATTTGTAAACTCTTTATTAGTTCTGTTATAAATACAGAATGCAGCATTGTTGGTTTTAATACTGGAAATAGCCTTGATTTTATTGTTGATTTTTTGTATCAGTTAGTACTATATTATATGAGCATAAAAAATATAATTTTTATTGCTTTAATCAATCTCAATTCTCTACTTTTATGACTTTCTTGGACCAGAATCCTTAGTTTTAATACATACGTGACAAAAGCTAAACGGTACCCTATTAATAGAATGTGATCGAACTTGTACGAAATTGAAGCTTTCAGTGAAGTTTTAGTTTGATAAACTTTTTATGGTAGATATTTATTTATAAGATATTTATAAATATTATGCTAGATATTTATAAGTATTACGCTAAATATTTAATTTTTTAACATTTAATTTTCATTGAAATGTAGTAAGTTTTAATATTTTATAACCTAGACTTTTATGCCATTCAAAGTAAAAGTTCCAGTTAAGCGAAGTTTTTTGTCAAATATAAGAGTTAGCAAATGGTTCGACTGGGAACGATTAGGGGGATAATATAATAAAGTTCAACTGGAATTTAAAAAAAACATGCTGGATTTAGCTTTCAAATAGAAGAAATAAATCATTTCTAAATTGAGCTTATATCGCATAAATTAAAATTGAATTAAATCACAAATAAATTATGTGTGACCCACTTTATTACAAATATAACTTCTTTATTTAACAATATGCAAACTCTGTTTTAAACATATTGACTTCAGCAAAAAAATTTTATGAAATATTTTCTATAAAATTAACTTATAATTTTCTCCCTCGCAAGTTCTTTAAACAAGCACGATTTTTTACTCTCGCAGCAAAACTAGCGAGCGTTAGTCGCACCTGGAAGGTCATTTACGGGTGTGGAGCAATAGCTCCCACTATATCTCAAGGCCTGTATATGCATATGTAATTAATTAATGTAGAGTCTATATGCCTTGTTCATTTGCAGAAACATAATTATTGTGCCTTTTTCTTACTCTTGTTTCTGTTGCTAACCTGTGATTCTGGTTTATCTAAGATAGGGATCGCCAAATACAGTATACTGATTTTATGGTATACTTTACCGTATACTTGGTATACTAAAAGTTAGTATACAGTTTAATATACCTGTTTACTTTTTTTGCATATGTAATTAATTAATGTAGAGTCTATATGCCTTGTTCATTTGCAGAAACATAATTATTGTGCCTTTTTCTTACTCTTGTTTCTGTTGCTAACCTGTGATTCTGGTTTATCTAAGATAGGGATCGCCATTTTTTTTGTAAACTATTTTTGGATAGACTTGATAATTTAATTAAACTATTATTATGTTATCTTAATGAGTTAAATGGTTATATTTATTGTATAAATTATGATTACAATTTTTTTTTAATTTTAAAGTAGCAAGATAATAATCCATTATCAAGTGGTTGCAGATTTTGATCAAACTTTAACTTTTTATTTATTTATCTAGTAACTATTAGTAACCATTAGTAACCATTGGTTACAGATTATTTTATAATCTGTAACCAATGGTTAATAGTACAATAGACTACACAAACAACAATATTAGAAAAGAAAAAAAATATTTGTTTTATGTGAACCAGCGATTCTTTCCAATGACGTGAGCCAATCCTAACAGTAAAATTTATATGGTTGCTTCTAAGTTACTGCAATTTTTTAATCACTAAATTTTTGAAGGTAATAGTTATATGAATATCTGATTTTATTTATAATTTATACTTTATAAACATATTTTTGTTACAAATTTTTTTATAATAATTTATCAACAAAACAGTTGGTTATATAATTTGGTTAATTTTTGCAAGAGAATAAAATGTTTAAATTGCAAACATTTTATTAAGCCTCAACTTTAAAGTTCCAATTATGTATGTCTCTTAATTTTATAATGTACATTACACAGTTCACACTTAAAATACTGTAAATTTACAAAATGTGCTTTGTACAATATACATTATACAATAATTGTATAATATATTTTAAGTCCATTTTCAGGGGTTGGAAAAACTACAACTTTGCCACCTTATTTTCCTATTCTATTTTGTTATACAAGACTTTTCCTAAAAAAATTTTTGAAAAATTTTTAATTCCCTGACACCCTAGGAGTTTTAATATTTTTAAATTATTAAATTTTTTAGGAAAATATTTTTTTTTAAACTTGCATTGCCTTACCTATGCGGAGTTATAACCACAATGGGCAATAATAAATTTTATGAAACTGCACTGCGTTTATAACTTTTAAAATTTAAAATGGCAATAACAACACGTTCAAATACTAAAATATTTTTATTAGGACAAACCCATGAAATTGATTGCAGAACTTTGCCTACAAAAGGCGAAGTTTTATGATATTTTTATTACTGCTGCAAATAACTAAATTTAAAAAAGAATAAAAATAAAAAAAACACCAAAATTATTTTTTGCCCACTAGATATGAGCTGCTATGTAACAATTTTCATCAAATAACAATTGTATTAATGAAAATCAAGAGTTGTTTTCATTAGAAAATTTTGATAATGAAAAATTTCAATATAATAACTATGATGAAATTGAAGAACAACCAACTAAAAACAAACAAAATAAAGTGACAGTAACAGTGGATATTGATGAACTTATTAAGAAACTTCAACATTTTGTGGGCGTTTTGAAATTTTTGTTGGAATACAGATTATTAACATTATTTTCAAGATGTGGAAATATCAATCTTAATCAACTAAAACTTTTAAAGACAAAAATAGAAAAAAGCAGTTGTTAAAAACAAATTTACCTGAAATCTTTAAACTTAAAAAGTTTTATCCTGTAGAAATAAATAAAAATTCAGAACTTAATGATTACATTGGTCAAAATTCAGGTCTTTAAAAGAAACCAGGTTGTATTTCAAAATGTGTTAGCTCGAGAAATTTTAAATTTTGACCTCAAATTTTATACCAACCTTTCCTAATAGTAGAGCCAGCTCACACACACACACACACACACACACAAAATTATTAGTTTGTTGGTCCTTGCTTCAATTAAATAGCAATTTAACTAATAATTGGTCAAAAATGGCTTTTTTAAAAATATTTAAACCCTCAGGGAGGTCAGGAAAATTGAAATATTTTCAAAACTTTTTTTGGAATTGTCTTGTATAACAACTTAGAATGGGAAAATAAAGTAGTAAAGTTATAGTTTTTCCAACCCCCAAAAACGGACTAATGCATCTTGTACAATTATTGTGAGTCACGCACAATCAAAGCTATTAATTTTAAAGTTAATGTTAAAAACTATAAATAAGTACACTGTAGTCAGTGAAAGAGTACATACAGAGTGAAATAAGTACATTGTAATGACTGTAGTCTGAGTTGTACCGCTTAAAATTAAAATGATAAAAAAAAAATCACACTGATTAGCGTAAACAAATTATTTCTGGAAGTTCTAGTGGCGACCCCTGAAAAATTGTCAGGCAACCCTTGTTGGGTTGTGAACCATAGTTTGGGAACTGCTGACGTAAACCATTAAAATTTTTTTACAAACTTGTATTAGTTTCGCCAAAAATTTTTTTGTTTAGGTATACTTTACTGTATACTAAAATTTTAGTGTACTGTATACTAGTAATCCCTATCCAAGATGTAACAAAAAGAATGGCATCAAATTTGCTATTCCCCAATAAATTTATTGTCATTAGATTGGATACATGTTCCACAGTGGGGCTGTTCAAATAATAAAAGTCAAATAATGTTTATATATATCAGGTGCTATTCTAGACCGTTTTTGACAGCGTCAACCATATTTAGGCGCCGCCCAAATTAAAATTTGATGATCTTTTTTTTTATGTTTTTTTTTTTACATTTTTACGGCAAATATTGTTTTTTTCGTGAAAAAAAATGCCAATTTTCCGCTAAAGTCCGCCAAAACAAGGGGGTACCGTCAACCAAATTTTTTTTCTAGAATAGGCCCTGTATGTATATATCAGGCTTGGTCGGGAAGCAGGAGCAATCCAGGGTTCCCACTATTAAAACTAAGGCTAAAATTAAGGAGTTTAAGGAGATCTAAGGAGATATTTTCCTAATATTTAAGGAGATTTGGTCGCAAATGACATTTTTTTGAAAGAAAAAGTAAGGATAATTAAGGAGAAAACAATTACATTAAAAACTTAATTTTATTTTTTTCAATAAATTTTAAATAAAAACAGAGAAATTATTATTACTTTATATATATATATATATATATATATATATATATATATATATATATATATATATATATATATATATATATATATATATATATATATATATATATATATATATATATATATATATATATATATATTAATATATAATAACAAAAATAAGTTTGAAAACTTTCAATAATCTATATATTATCTTCTTTATTAACAAGTATAATCCATTCACTTTAAAAGAATATTTGCGAACACTAAAAACCCGCCAAATTAATGAACAAACTAATTCCATTGGTTCAAAAAATAAGCTGACTAAGCGAAATAAAGTTCTAGAGTATTCTGTTGAAATGTTTTAGAAATTGTATTATTAACGATTTGTTATGTTTTGAGATTTCTAGCATAAATTGTTTTAAGAATATATACTATTTGTTTACAAAAATAAATCTTTTAAATATATATTAATTAAATTGTCAAAATTTTTAAAGTTTATTATAAATAATAGATTTTATTAGTATATTCTTATTTTTTATTTATAAAGTATGTATTCTTTATGTAAATGTAATTTTGTGTATCTGTTTTTTAGCGTAATGTATCTTTTAAAGCAATTTTTATGATTTAAACAAAGACAAAAAAATTGCGTTTTCAATGAAGTCATAATCATTAAAGTTAATAAAGCTAATTATGTAACAAACATATAAGAAGTTTCTGGTTACTAAACACAAACAACGCATACAAAGTAACTTACGGATGAACAAGCACTGCGTCTGAGGTCACGACAGAACACAAATATATATAGCAAATAATTAGATATAAAGAAAAGTTTCTAGATATCGGTTTACTACCTCTAATTATTTGGCTTAAGTTACCATTCTTAAAACTCGTTATACTTTTATCTGCTTTAAATACTAGTTAAAATTAAAAAACCCACTCACTAAACATCATCAGCGATATTGTGAAGCCGTTTCGCTTCCTCATCATAAAGTATTTTTAACCTTTTTAGTTGATTTCTGTCTTGTTAATTTAATTTCTATAGTAATTCAATGATTTAATTATTTCATTTGTTTATCTTACTAAGAAGAACTGCTTCAAATATGTTAAACTTTTCAAACCATGCAAAACATAAAATAGGTATTAAAAAAATTAACTTTTTTATTTATAAAATAATTTAGCTTAAATAAAACTAAAACTTGCAAACTTTGTTAAACAAAGAATATTTGTTTCTTTTTTAAACAATCGTAAGATGTTACTTTATATAAAAAACATCGCTTAATTTTATAAAAAAAATTATAAAAGATCGATGTTTTGAAAATATTTGTTCTAAACGTAATTTATTCAGCTTTAAGTTTTTTCGCGTTTAAAGATATTTTATTTGCCTAATTTTTTTTTTGTAATTGTCTCTGATCGGTCCAAATAATCTTTTGAGCTTTTTTTTTTTTGCTTTTTAAAATGTTCTCAAAACGACTAAAAAATCTGGCCAGCTTTCGCAACTAAATATTATTTACCTGGTCAGCAATCAAGAGCGATCGCTCCCGCTTCCTGACCAAGTCTGATATATATATACAACCTTCGGAATTAGGATCGGCATTTGGCAATGCCGACCTAACTGCCGCCCAGAAAGTGTTCGAGGTCGGCAAAAAATTGCTGACCTTGTTTTATATGTTTTATGGTCAGACTTTTGTATCAAATAATTTTTGCTGACCTCAAAAAGATCGAGGTCAGCAAACTATTGCCGACCTTGACCTTTTTGCGGTCAGCAAAAATTATTTGATACAAAGGTCTGGCCATAAAATATAGAAACGAGGTTAGCAATTTTTTGCCGACCTCAAAAAAATTTATTTGCACCAATCCCTATTTGTCATTCAATGTATGTACATTTAATTGCGCCAATTCCTATTTGTCAGTCGATGTACGTGCATTAAATTGCACCAATCCCTAATTGCCAGTCGATGTATGTACATCTAAAAAGCTGTCTCAAAAATTTCTTATTAAAAAATATACTCATTACAATATTTAACTGAATTTAAATAAATTTCAATAATGACGACAATAAAAACCAGGTTGGATAATTTAAAAAATAATTTTCTAAACAACTGATTTTTGAATAGAAACCGATTAAAAGACGTTTTTAAAAAGATGGCAATATTAGCATTTTTAGTATAATTTTTAAAACTTTAACATCAAATTAGAGTGCTTTGTTATATTTTCTGGTCAATGTTTTTTTATGATTCTTAATCAGCATGAAACTTTCTATCGAAATCAATCATAAAATGATAGGGGTAGGAAAGTGAAACAGAGCCTTTTTAAACATGAAACTGAAACAGTGACTTTTTAAACATAAGTATGTTGTGTTTTTTTATTCATTATGTTTAAAAAGTTGGCACTGTTTCAGTTTCCTACCCTTTAATAAATATTCCGAATGATAAGGAATATTTATTAAAATAATAAAAGAAAAAAGATTGCTGCCCCATGCCAAACCCTCAGTCAATGTAGCAGCACACTTTCTTGCAACTCCAGGCCATATATAGCAGTTGATATATGTACTAAAAATGTTTATAAAGTCTCCACTAACGAGAGCGCAACAAATAAAAAAATAAAATTATTTTAGGCTGCTTAACTGTAGCTTAATCTTTTAAACAATATAATTAACATAACATGATTTTTTTTATTAATTAAACATAAATTATAACATATATTTAAAAATAAACTGATCGTGGCCGTGGTCAAAACAAAATACATTAATTGAGGTATATTTAAAATATTACTTTTGTATAAAAAGTTTAAAAATGTTTTCATATGAAATTGTCTATGAAATGTTTTGGGTTCATCAGAAAAATTATAAAAAGTCAAATAAAAATACCGTTTTAGCCAGGCACATCCACTTACAACTTTGAAAATTCCTGCAATCGACCTCAGGTGAACGTTTAGAAGCCATAATTAATACAAGAAATACAAGTAATTTCGAGAAGCAAATACTATAGGAATATAGATATATAAAAATACAATAAACATAAAAATAATAATAAATTAGAGCAATGTTGCTTGTGCATAATTTGTAATCAAATTGAGAAACAGTTGGTTACCATTAAAAAGAAAATTGTTAATATAAATAACAGAGCGATTACATCGCTAACAGAAGCTAAAAGTGCATACTATGACTCAAAACAACACAAAAAGTGCATACTATGACTCAAAACATCATTTTGAGTCATAGTATATTTCGCTCACCAATAGGTACATGCGTATCTGTCTTTAACGGCACCGATTTTAGAGACAATCTGTTACTTAATTTTGAAGGCGTGCTTTGCAAAGGTGTAGTAAGAATGTATTTTAGAATTTGATTTCAACTTGGACTTTACTTCGAAATTAAGATATTTTAAGTTTATTATTTTCTGTAACTTTTTAACAGTTACTAACGTTTTCATTGGTCTCATTGATATGAAAAATTCGCTTCTGTTCTTTCTCTCCAAGCGAATATTTGTACTTTTAAATAATATATATTATTTTTTCTCTATTTGTATTTTTAAATATTATACCTTCCTTTTTACTATTTTTTAGCTAGATTTTCTACTTGATTTATTTACTATATTTTGCTATTGTTATTATAGTCTGTAGAGGCTCTATGAAAAGATAAGGTAGGAATTTTGCCACCCTTATCTTTTTTGAGCCCCTGTCTGTTTATTATTTATATACAGGGCCTTCCCGAAGAGATTTGAATGAAAGGCAGGGGGTAATGTATCTTTTTTTGCTGACTAAAGCCTTTTTTTCCGACTAACTTATATAGAAAAATAAAAAAAAAAGGTCCAATTAAGTTTAAAAACAGTAAAATGAAGAAACAAAATAATAAAAAGAACGTGCAATTTTCAAAAAAAAAAAAATATTTTTTTTATTTTTTTTATTTTATTTTTTTTTCAAGCAACCATTTACAATTAAAGGTAATTTCCAATAAAATATTTAAAAATATTAAATACAAGATATTTGAAAAGAAGATAAAATCTTATCATCAGTAACCTTTGATAATAAAAATTGGAAATAAAAGTGTATTATTAGAAAAAATCATGTAAAGAATCTTGATTGGCAATAAGTTCGATTATTTTCTTTTTAAATTTTTGAGAGGTATTGGCTTCTTTAAGTTTACCACTCAGGCTTGTAAGATGGTTCCATAGCATTGGGCCACAATAGGAAATGGCAAAGCTCGTAAGTTTTGATGTATGGAAAGGTTTTTTAAATCTTCCGGTAGATCGTGTGTTGTATTGGTTTAATGTTTTATGAAAAATATTTTCGAAAACATTCGGCGTTTTTTTTGATTGATGTTGAAACATAAATTGTGTAATTTTGAAAATATTTAATTCATAAATATCAAGAGCCCTCATGCTTTTTAGAAGAGGTTTAGCATTTATGAAGCGATTTTGAAAATGAATAATGCGTGCTGCATGATTCTGTTGTTTAAGGAGACAGTCGAGTTTAGATTTACTTGTACTACCTCAAACAACATTGTCATAAAATAAATAGCTATTTATGAATGCAACATATTGTTGAGTTAGTGTAGATTTGTCTAAGATTTGTCTGGTTTTATATAAGATGCCAATGCTTCTTGAGATTTTATTGCTAATATGTTTAATATGATCTTTTCAGGATAAGTTTTCGTCAATTAAAATACCAAGTAATTTATTTGTAAATGAGCGGTCAATATTGATGTTATTTATATATAGCATTGGTAGGGATTTTAGAATAGATTGAAACTTTCGTTTAGAATGGAATAAGGAAAACTTAGTTTTATCAGTGTTTAAAGATAGGCTGTTAGCGATTAGCCAGTTTGATATTTGTTCTAGTTCATTATTTGCTACTTGAAACAGAGAGATAATATTACTGTGAAAATAAAATAAAGTGATGTCGTCTGCAAACATAATAATAAACATAGTATTTGATGCTTTATATAGATTGTTGACATAGATTAAGAACAGCAGCGGATCTGAAAAGCCTTGTGGAACCCCCCACATGATATTTTAAGTTTGTTTGTCTGAAAGCTATCATTTAGAGAAATAAACTGCTTTCGATTTGTAACCAGACTTTCATCTTCAGATTTAAAAATGGGTGTAAAATTAATAATAATTGCAACTTTCATTTTATCTGGAAAAACACCTGTTTTAAGCGATTTGTTAAAAATATCTAATAAAACATCTTTAACAAGTTCATAGCAGTCTTTGATTATGCTTGCTGAAATAGAATCATAGCCTGTTGCTTTATTTTTGTTTAATTTTTTTATTGAATCATCAAGTTCTTTACTAGTGAGTTTTTTAAATGCTAAGCTTTTATCCGACTTTGATAGTTAGCAAATGAAATATGCATTATGTTTATTTTAGAGTATGTTTAATTTTGCTGGCTAAGTTTGGACCAATATATACGAAATACTCATTAAATTTTGTTGCCACCGATGTTGCCACCGATCAGAGATCTGTGTGCCGTCTGCATTAATCACGCTTGGTAAGACTTTGTTGTGTATTTTTTGTTTTCCAAGAATCTCTTTAATAGCATTCCACCTTTTTTTCCAGTTACCTTTAAGTTCTAACAGCTTGTTTTTGAAGTATGTAATTCTGGCTATTTTTTAGTTCTTTCATAAAGATGTTGGTGCTCTAAGTAATTATGCTTGTCACGATCTTTCTTTGATTTAATAAAGCGTATATATAGCTTTTGTTTTCGCTTTGAAGACTTTAAATGGTTTTTAGTGAATCAAGGATTAAGAAGTCTTTTAGTTTTAATAAGGATTGTTTTATTAGGAAAATGCTTATCGTACAAATTGAAAAATTTATCTAAGAAAAGGTTGTAGCTGTTATTAGCACATGTCTCGAGAAAAACAAAGTTCCAATTTACAGTCGATAGCTCTAGTTTAAACATGTTTTTTGCTCGGGTTGTAAAGATTTTTTTTTTGAAGTGCCAGTCTTTTTTTAGTATATCTTTTGGTTTTTTGAAAATTGAAAAGACTGGGAAATGGTCGGTTATATCACTTCTGATGATGCCTGAGTTAAATGTGGAATGGAAGAGTGTATTTGTCAAAATATTGTCGATTGCAGAACAAGAGTTTTGTGTTATTCTTGTTGATTTATTTATTATAGGCATCATTCCAAACTCATTAAAGCAATTGTAAAATTGTTATACTTTATTATTTTCACCATATTTTAAATAGTCGACGTTATAATCTCCAACAAATAAAAATGAGCGGTCTTTATTTTTTTGCATGCTATTTCGAAATAATTACTTAAGTGATTTTGAAAGTTACTTAAACATCTGTTTGGTGGTTGGTATGTAGCTGTCACAATAATATTTTTAGATGATTTATTGTAAATTTCTAAAGTGAATGATTCAAAATCCGGCTCAGGTCATATCTAATTTTATAAGTAAATTCATCAAGCACATAGACACACATACCACCGCCTGTTTTTGAAGACTTGCGTTTAAAACTTATGGCATTGTAGTTGGACAAAATAAAATTAGAGTTTTGATTAAATGTTGTATCTAAAATCTAGCTTTCCGTTAAACAAATTAAGCTAAAGTTAAAGTTAAGATTATTTAGTAGGACTTTTAGTTCGTCGAAGTTTTTAGTAATACTACGAATATTTAAATGGAACACTGAGAATTGATTAGAAAAACATAATTTACATCTTTTAAGTAAAATAGTGGCTTTATCCAATTCAAAGTAAGAAGTGTTCAGTTTGTTTTTGTTGAGAAGTTGATCTTGAATAAGTTGAGATTAATATATTTCGCTGTTTATATAAAAACAAAATAATAAAAGTACAACGAAACTTTTAAACTACACAAAGAATATATATAAAATAGACAAGGGCTCAAAGAAGATAAGGATGACTGGTGTTCCCACAATCTTTTCATAGAGCCCCTTTACAATATCATTTAAAGCCCTCATGGCTTTAGAAAATTTACAACAAATATTTTATCTGTTAAATACTACGTGAAGAATAAAGAAAAACTCATCTATACATATATACTCATATATACATATACCCATAAAAACACACACATATACAAACATACTTACATGTATTTCAGAAATTAAGGAGATGCAGTTTCATTTGTCGTTTAAAAGAGAAAGTGCTTTTCAAATTTTTTATATTGTTATTTTTTAATTGATTCCATAATGACGGGCTTTGGCTAATAATTGAGAATTTCGACACTTGCGATTTTACTATGCTCAAGTGATAGTTATGGTTGTTATTTGACAGAAGATTGTATTTTTGTGAAAATGCTGCTGTAAAAATATCAGAAAACACTTTTGGCAGTTATTTTTATATTTATAAATAAATATTAATATTTGAAGTGAATTAAGTTTTGATATATTTAAAACATTCATGTATTTCATTACAGGGGAAGAGTTTTCTAATCTCTTTAAATAGTTAACTGTTTTACATGCGTGGTTTTTGTAGGCTCAGCAATCTTAATAACTTAGTTTTGTGTGTGTTAGCCCAAACAATATTAGCGTAGGAGAGATGACAAGGAACAAGACTGAAGTAAAGCATTTTGCGTGATTAATAATCAAAAAAGGCCCTAGATTTATATAATACACTTATAGCAGAAGATATTTTTGCTTCAATGAGACTAATATGTTTTTTCCATGATAGGTTCTCATCAAATATTACTCCCGAAAACTTTGAATGATTTACTCGATTTATTTCATTTTTATTGATTGACAGTTTTGATAACTTTAATGGAAGATTAGTTGATTCTCTTATTTTATGGTATAACTTGTTTTTTCACAATTTAATGATAACTTATTAGCTATAAACCATTGGTTATAGCTTTCTAGTTCAGTGTTCATTGTTTCGAACGGTATTTTTTCATCAGAATTATTGTAGAATAAATTTGTATCGTCTGCATACATAATTGACGATATTTTATGAGAAGTTTTATTCATATCATTGATATATATTAAAAATAATAAAGGTCCTAAAATTGATCCTTGTGGGACTTCGTAAACAATATCAAGAGCTCCTGACTCCTCCAGGACAACAAACTGTTTTCTATTAAAAAGAGAACTCTTAACCCACTTATATGTTAGGCTTTTAATGCCGTAATGCTTTAGCTTTGAAAGCAAATATCCGTGATCAACAGTATCGAATCCCTTAGAGAGATTGATAAATACTCCAAGTACTTGTTCCCCTTTATTTTATTTGAGTATAGCAAATATTTATCTCATTTTTGGGAGAGATACTTTTAATGACGTTATTAAATTAGTGGTTGCTAGTGGCTATTTGTGAAAAATTCGAGTAAGATTGTCATTTTTAATACCGTAATGAAATTTAATTTTTTCTTGTTCACTTCTTAACGCATTTTTTTCGTTTCGTTCTATTAATTTATTTTTTAGAATAAATCTTTGACTTGTTGTTAGATCACGATTTATATACACATTTTCATATTTTTTGATTTTTCTTAATTTAATTGATGCTTTAAGAACCATATTTTTGTTATTAACGTCTTCAAGCTCGATAAGCAAAGGATCGATGCTTCCTTTAGATTTAAGACGGCGAATAGATCTCACTTTTGCTCCATCGGATTCGATAGCACTAAGTAAATTATTTACTTGCGATTTGTCATTTTCTATTTTTTCCGTCTGTGAGGAACATTGCGAAGCTTCTAATCCATAGATGATGACGTTTGTTTTTCTACATTCTTGGTCTTTACGTTCCTTTGTGGTTTCAAAAAGAAGAGATAGTTGGTCTTTGTTTTTTTGACAGCCCCTGATACAACTTTCGACCACGTAGTTCCACTTGTATCAGAATTTTGAATTTTCCATTTCTGTAATTATACTTTTTAATTGCTTGTTTTCTTTAACACATTCCGCAACTTCGGATTTTAAGTTTTTTATTTCATCCTCGAAAATTTTTATTACACCTTCTAGCATCTTTTTACCTGTTTTTTCTTGCTGAGCCGTTAAATTTGTCATGATTTTACTCTCAGGTGTAGTTTAGTTACAAATTTTTTTTGTTTTGTTTGTTTTCTTTTTCTTATAAATATTGGATCGTATCGTGTATATCAAATACTAATATATATTATATATACGAACATATACTTATTTATATTATTTGTATTTATATATATTAATTTTATATGTATTTTACATATAATTTATACAAATATATTTACTAATATTGGTAATTTGAAAAAAAAAACTACAAAATTCTGTAAAAGTATTAGCGAACTGAAGCATAAATAAAATCTTGGTTATAACTATTTATATAATAATAATATATAAATAATAATATGAAAATAAAGATATATATAATCAAAAATAAGTATAGGTATATTTAAGAATTATATAAAATATAGTTGTGCGAAGTACAACAAAAACTGTATTTTAGACACGAATGTAGTTAATATATTATTATAATTTTTAAGTAGAAAAGTAATGAATAAGCTAATAAGATGAAGCAATAAGAAGAGAAAGAAGTAATGGTTAGAAAAAAAAATAATTGTAAAAGAAAGATAAAGAATACGGAGAAAAATTTAAATTCCTGAAAACTTACGCTCAAACAAAAACACGTCTTATCGACTTAAAGGCTTAAGCTCAAAAAATAGCAACTATTATAGATGACGTAAAATTAAAAGCAGTTACTGAGTTATAGCTTTTTTATTCACGCATTTTTCTCATGTAAGCAATTGCTCAGAGTAAAAGCTTTTGAGCAAAAAAACAAGCAATTGCGTGTAATTCACGTAAAGTTGAGCAATCCAAAAACGCTGAATAAAAGCAATGGACCTTTCCCCATAAAGCAATGCATTATGGCATTTGTATGTACAGAAAAATCAAAAATTTTCATAAATTTTATAAATAAATATTAATATATCTCAGCAGGAGAATAACTGCATTGTAATATAAACAAATATTTTAACGCAGTTAAAGTTAAATTTTGTTAGAGAAGCTTGTTTGAAGTATATTTTACAAGTATACATATGTAAAAGAATATATAATTAACTCTATAAATATTCCTGCTAGATCTAGCTTTTTAAAAAGCCCTCAGCTTTCCACTAAATGCAACATTTTGTGTAATTACAAACAAGAAATTAAACAGCGAGGAAAACAAAATAATCACTAAAGATAAAATTTAATGGTCAAAAGACAACATCTCTGTTTCCGATAACATATCAACATATATTTACTTATATAGTATCAGAATATATTTTGAAAGAAAAGCTGCTAAACATAAAATAGCTGGTTATCAGTTATTCAAAGAGAACTTTGTAAACCAAATATTATATAAAATTAAACCAAGGAATGACAATCGCTGTGTTAATTATTGAAATTATTTTAACCAAAATCATTTTGTGAAGTTTAAGCCTAGTTATAATGGAAAAATTTCTTCACTGTCTGGACCATTTAATTAGTTCAAATTAGTTTTAATTAAATGCTCCAGACAGTGAAGAAATTTTTCCTCAGTCTGAGGAAAATTAAAGCTTGCCATAATGTTAATCAATTTTAAGAGAATAATTACATCAGAAACTAAAGATTAATACAAAAATGGATTGAAAACAAAATAAAAAACTTACTGCATTTTTTGTACAATCAATTAAATTTGAAAATGAAAACTGGTTCAATAAGATTTTACCTTGTTTAAATACATTTTATTTTCAGTTTGTGATTAAAAAAATATTTGAAAGGATGTAAAAGTATGTATATGGATGTAAATTATAATAAAAAATTAATATTTTTTTATACTTTCTATATCGGAAATTGCATAAAACAATAAACTTTTATGTTTTACTTAGTTGCTAAAGCATTTAGGTACAAACATGTAAAATCCCGACTTTTTTTTTTTTCTTCTGTTTTTTGTTGAAAAACATTGTTTGGTGCACTTGTTATCTTTTCTTCGAAGTCTTCTATTGTGCAAATTTTACTCCATTAATATAGTTTTTAAAACTTGAACTAAAAAATTAAAATTAAAATTAAAATTAAAATTAAAATTAAAAGGTGTGAAATAAAATACACTAAAGTCTATTGGGACAATCTCAGTTCTTTCAATATATGACATTTTACTCGACTTATTTTTGTTGTCTACTTCCGCGTTCATACAAATACCATAATGCATTGCTTTATGGGGAAAGGTCACTGATCTATATAATAACTGGGTAGCGCATCTCTTAAGGTGAGTTTCCACTCATCCGTTTTTCTACGGGAACGAGATAGGAAAGGAAAAAATAATCACGTGAGCATGCGTAGTTTTACTTCGGACAAATTAAAACTTATAATACGCATGCCCACGTGATTATTTTTCCCTTTCCTTTCCCGTTGCCGTGAAAAAACGGATGAGTGGAAACTCACCTTACAGGAAACAGTGTAACTTTTGAAACCAAAATTTTTTCTCCAGCGCCATATTGGGAGGACCCACGGAGAAAAACTATTTATTTAAAATATTGTTAGGTGAACAAGCTATTTCTTTAGTTTGGTGGTTTAACTTTATGTTTTTTTGTATTTAACATAGATAGAACGTTTGAAAAATTATTAATAAATTTTTTTATATAATAATAATTACTTTTCAGTAAAATAATTATTCTATGTCTGGAGAAAATACCAAAAAGCGAGGGACACAATGTGTTGCATTTGGTTGCAATAAAAGAAAACATGGTGGTAGTAAAAGAAGTGATAGTGATGGAATCTCTGATGATGAATCATCCTTAAAACGAAAGTTTCCTAAAACATTTCATAGGTTACTTTTTTAATTATTTTAAAAAATAAAAACATTTTAAAATTTTTTGACCTCTGTTAGTTTGCTTGCAATGTGAACATACGAATTTAAATAATATCAGTTGTGCAAAAAGTATAACAAATTTAATGAAATATCAAATATTATTTTTCCTACTAATTTTATTCAGATTTACTTTAAACACTGAATAAATGAAGGAATGGACCATCAAAATACACTGTCAAGAATGGAGTCCAAGTAGTAGCAGTTTGATATGTTCTGATCATTTTTAAGAAAAAGATATTGACAGAACTGGACAAACTGTTAGGTTAAGGGAAAATTCTTTTCCTAAAAGATTTAAAAAATTCTTTGACTTCTTAAAAAGGTATATGCTCAATTATGTTTTTATGCATTGCACAGGTTTGTTCAATATGTACCTTTTAGTTCTTAATTACCCTATGCAGTGTGCTAGAGGGTTTATAACACAACTGTATGGTAAGCAGCTATAACATATAATAACCATTTTGCTACTGCATGCTTTTATTTTATAAATGCTGCATAAACTATTAGCTAAGCTCTGTGAGTAAACACAACTTAGAGGTTCCTTCTAGTTAGATATAATATTTAATATAAAAATTATACAGCTATATATAAATATATATTTTTTCTTTTAATATTAGAATATGAAAGAGAGAAAAGTTCCTGTTAGTAGGTTAACTTTTGAAAGTTCTGAAAAAAGTGATTTGGAAACAAGTGTTATACCTTTCAGAATGAACGTTGGCTCCCTCAAAATAATATATATATAACTGCAGTTTAACTTCAGAAAAACAAATAACAGATCGTAGAAACAAGATAATTGAAAAAGCGGAACAGCAAAAATCTCGAATAATGAAAAAAAAAAAAAACATCTTTTAAATCAGTAGTAAAAATATTAGTCAAAAACAAAAACTATCATCAAATTGTGAAGAAATGCTTTTAAAAACATTTTCAGAAGTTCCTCAGGCTCTAACCTGAAGAATGATTATGCATAAAAATCATGGTAAAGGATTTAAATATTCAGATGAAATCAAATCCTTTGCACTTACCCTGCAGTTTTATTCAAGCAAAGCTTATGAATATGTGCAAAAAACATTTAATTTTAATTTACCACATCAAGCACAAATAAGGAAATGGCATGGAAAAGTTTCAGCAAAACCAGATTTTACAAAGCCAGCTTTTGCAGCACTTAAATACAAGGTTATAGAAGCTGACAAATTAGGATCTAAAGTCATTTGCTCACTTATGTTAGATGAAATGGCCATTAAAAAATACATCTTGGGATGGAAAAGAATTTAAGGGGTATGTTGATCTTGGGAATGGTATACAAGATAATTCATCCCCGGTTGCAAAAGATGCCCTAGTTCTCATGGCTGTTAGTATAAACAGTTCATGGAAAGTTCCATGCGGATACTTTTTTATAGATAGGTTAAATGGTGCCGAACGAGCAAACATTGTAAAATTATGTATTAAACGATTGACAGATGTCGGTGTCGAAGTCATATCATTAACATGTGATGGACCCTCATGTCACATTTCGATGTTATCAGACCTTGGTGTTTCAATTGATGCTTGGAAAATAAACACTTCTTTCACCCATCCTCTCAACCCTGATAAAAAAGTTCATACTCTCCTCAATATTTGCCACATGTTTAAGCTAATTCGGAATTGCTTCATAGATGGTGATGTTTTGTTTGATAGCAAAAACAATGCAATTTCATGGAAATATATAGTTTATCTATTATAGTTTGAAATATACAGTTTTAGAAAGTTTAGGATCTGTTTTATTATTTACAACCTCGTTTTCCAAAATTTGCCGACTGCCATGACGACATTTGCCGACTGTCTAGATTATCGACTAACCTATATCGAAAGGGTCGACATTTGCCGACTAAATAGTCTAAAAAGGTCCAATTTGCCGACTAAGGGTCCAATTAGCCGACTAAAAATCATTTACACAGATTTACAGACATTTTACAACAGGTTTTTACTATTTTGTTGATATTGCTTTTTTTTCTCTTAATTTCTTGATACTTTTAATCCTTTTCTTTTCTTCTTCTTTCTTTTCTGTAAAATTCAAGCGCATCATAACATATCGTGAGTCCTCACTATATTTTTTATTTTATTTTTTTCAATTTTTTGCCGTAGAAGTTACAATTTATAAAACAACATAAATAATAAAACAAATGGCTGGAGCAAGAAGAAGACATCAGTTTGTCTTATCACTGAGCCCCATAGTGACTTCATTACAGGTCTTTTTTTACAACAAAATATATAAAATCGTGATAAATTGTTTGTGATAAAATATGTAAAAATGTGAAAAACTACGTTTTACAATTGATATAACTGTTTATATATAAATTCGTTTAGTAAAATAAATTTAGAACAAGTAAAAGTTAAAACAAATAAAAGAAATAAATTGTGCTAGTTTATTTTATACTAAAAAAGAAAAAGAAAATTTAAGTCCGTAGATAATAAAAAACGCTTTGATTCAGATTTGAACTGTTCAAGTGTATTTCTTTTGATAGAAACAATCTGGGGAAAAATTTTCCACAAATAAGGTCCGCGGTGTTGGATTGAGTATGAATTTAACTTTAATGTAAATTTTGGGATGACAAAGTTGTTATATGAGAATCTAGTAGGGTATTTATGACTTATTTCGCTAAAATAGGGTTGAAATATCGGCGGAGATAGTCCATTTTTTATTTTGTACATAAACTGTAAAACAAGATGTATGTTAATTTTGTATATATTCAATGCTCCAAGTTTGCATAAGAGAGGTTCACCAGACGCTTTTTTACTTACTCCGAAGACAATTCTACAGGCATGTTTTTGTTTACTGTAGAGTTTTTTAAGCTTAGTACAGTTTGTGCTTGCCCAGGCCATGTTACCATAGCTTAGATGACTATGTATTAATGAAAAGTATAAACTTCTTAAGGAAATGATATTTAGGAAAAGTTTTGCTTTATACATTAATGAAATATTTCTTGAGAGCTTTCTCTCTAAAGTGTTTATATGGAGCTTCCACGACAAATTTTCATCCAAAACCACACCTAGAAAGTCTATAAAATTTTCTCTTTTTATATTAGTATTATTTATTTTAAGATCAGGTAGTTTAAGAGGAATATTTTCGTTTTCATTTGGTTTATGAAATAGGATGAACTTGGTTTTTTTGACATTCAAAGAGAGTTTGTTACACCTAAACCACTCATTTATTTTATGTAATTCTTTGTTAACTATATTAAAAAGTGTCCTAATGTCTCTATGCGAATAAAACAAATTGGAGTCATCCGCAAACAAGATTAAATTTAATAAGTTTGATGTTGAATATAAATCATTTATATAGAGTAAAAATAATAATGGTGCAAAGATCGAGCCTTGGGGAACCCCGCAAGTTATGGCGCTATTTGTTGTTTTTGTTGTTTCATGCTGAATATATTGCTTTCGGTTTGATAAATAATCTTTAAACCAAAGTAAGTTATTATTTTTTACTCCATACACTTCGAGTTTTTTTAGAAGAATGGCCGCCAAAATATATGGCCGCCAAATATTTTTTCGGCTTCAATTTCGATATTAGAGAAGCGCTATCCAGTTATAATATAGATAAGTGGGACAGGTCCATTACTCTAAATTTATATTTAAGTAAAGTTGATCAATCCAATAAAAGCATTTGTTCTTTTTCATTCAACCCGCCTACTAAATATTGCTAAAGAAATCATTATATGTTTGTGAAAAATTCAAATTTATAGTCAAATATATTCGGAGATTATTTTTCCGTTTAGTCGCTGTTAATTTACACTACTTTATATTAATCTATAGGAGTAGAAAAAAGTATATATGTACACTATACTTCTCCCATACCTATTTAAAGACGGATTTCCACTTACATGAAATTTTCCGCAAAACGGAATGGAAAAAAATCATCCCAATCATGTAACAAAAAAATTATAATACGCAATTTCTATGTAACATGATCGGATTAGTTTTCTTTTCCGTTTCGTTTCGCGATAAATTTTCATGAAAATTTGTTGCGTAAAATTGGGGGTGAGTCAATAAGACTTTTCTGCTTTTTTTTTTTATTGATTTTGATTTATTGCTAGGAGAAGGTTTATGTTAATAGCTTTTCGATTGAGTAAAACAGCCGTGCCTTAATTAAAATTAAGGCTCAGCTGTTTCACTCAATGTAATGCGCATATTGTAATGATTTTTAATAGTTTTGTGGGAAGTTTTGAAACGTTTAGGCCTATAAATCAGCATTTAGAGTGATGCATAATAATTCTGAAGGTTAAGTGGAGTGCATATATGTTGTGACCGTTATTATAGAATATCTATAATATGATTTTTTTAAACTGGTTATTAAAAAAAAAAACATTTTTTTAAAAAGCAACTTATATAACAATAGAGTATTAACAATATTAAATTACCGCGTTTAAGTTAAACAACATTATAAAATTTTTAAAAGTTTTATTAAAAAAAAACTAACACCACAAGCTTATTAAATTTCATAAACTATATGAATTGTAAAATTCTCTGTGATTAGTAAGTCTGGGCTTTCTTCATTAAACGTACAAATCTTTCGCCTTTTACTAAAGATTTCCGTGGAGAAGGCCATATTAATGAGTATTTAACAATTTTTCTTTGGTTTGCTTACGCGAACCGGCAATAAATAATAAATCATACTTCAACCCCAAATTTTAGGCTTACACCGCATTTAATTCTTATCATTCTTTGTGTTAAGATTAAAAGTTTTTTAAACCATTACGACTGAAGAATATTTTGCTCAAATCGTTATAAAGATATATGAAACAAAAGATGTTCATTTATATATTCGATTTTAGATTATATTTCTTATAATACGCACAAAGTGTAATATTTTAAAAAATAATAATAATGAAAGGCGCGTTTATAAAATTCAATATTAAGTTACAAGTAAACACCAGCACAAAATTACATAACATTAGTCAATTAGTACTTATTTAGATATGATCATAATTTCATAAAACAACGTTGGCAAGGTATCAGAGTTCCTTGAAAATGAGATAGCAATTAAAAACGTAACCTTATTAATTAGTCAGAAATTTATACGTAACGTTTACGTTCTAGTTCAAAACATCCCTATTGGAATTCTATTGGACGATGGATCAGCGGTATCAATAACTTTAGGAAAGTACCTTGCGACAGGCAGAGGAACCTTTGAGTCGTTTAGCCGCCAAAAGGTAAAAGTTCACGGGGAAGAGGTACTAACCGGGAATGTTATATTTATCATTAAGAATTGGCAAATCCCTCAACTAAACCCACTACCTAGCTACCAAAATATGGACGGGTTTACCCTGAGGTACAAGCACAATGTGCAACTCCAAATCCGTTACTTCAAATACTGCAGCAAATGTCAAAGAATCATTAATTAAATCTGTAGACAATGTTCCATCAGATGATACCCAAAATTTGTCTAATACTCATGCAGAAAATATAGTGACCGTGGTAGAAACTGGGGAACACACCGATAGCACACAAAAGTGAAGATCGAAATTTGGAAGCAAAAACAAGGAGAAAAAGAACAAAAAATAAAACGGACAATAACATAAAACCGAAAAAGTAGTAACACGATTTCCAACGAAGAAAACACTGTCCACACAGAAAGAAAGAAAACATTGTCCACACAGAAAATAGAGAACAAACTTTTGAAAAAGAAAAGATGGAAAAGGAAGCTTATCTTAACGATGACCAAGAATTAAACTTTATCTTTGACGGGTACGATGTCTTAAATTGTGCGGAGAAGATGTCGTAAGGTTTTATTTTTATAATTCTGTTTTCTACTTCTCTTAATTTTCTTATTTTCCTTTTTTTTTTTTTTTTTTCTTTTTGTTCTCAAATCTGTATAAATTTTTCGATTCTTTTACGTTCTATTTTAAAAATGCACGTTCTATTTTTAATTAAGCGCGTAAGTTGTGGTAATCCGTATTGTTGTAGCTTGCGCTTTTGTGTAAAATGTTATGGTCCAGTGCGTCCATCTGCTACTATTACATCATTTCTAACGAAAACTCGTGCTATAAGATTAACGTTTATATGTTTGTTTTTTTATGTAAGGTTGTAGAATTATTATATTTATGTTTAAGGTACACGAGTTTTCAATTTAGGAAATTTGATCCTCTCCATCATGGCTATTAATATTTTAACGTGCAACATAAATCGTCTAAACGACCGAGATAAACGCGACAATTTTTTTGGGTTTCTTAAAAAGTCTACTTTCGATCTTATCCTCCCTCAGGAAACAAAATCCGTTCCTTCCACTGTTAAACAGTGGAGTGACGAATGGACTGGCGAATTTATTTGAAACTTTGGTCCGAGACATAACTGTTGTGGGGTGGCAATTCTCTCTAAATCCAACGTTTCTCTAAATGAACTAAAAAGGGAGAATATTAAACGTCATGATAAAAATTGATGAACACGTAATGCGGGTGCTGAATATTTACGCTTCTAACGTACCGAGAGAAAGGCGCTATTTTTTCGGCAACCTTAGTGACTTCTCGCAGGACACAGGACTACCCGTCCTGCTGGCCGGAGATTTTAACATGGTTAAAAGCCTACCTCTCGACACAGAAGGTACAAACAACGCTAAACATCACACCTACGGCATTGACGAACTCAAGGTCTTCCAAGGTAAGTATAACTTAGTAGATGCTTTTCGTTTTAAATTTCCAACTAAAAGAGAATTCACAGGGCAAAATTAGAAGGTAAAATGTAGACTCAATAGAATCTACTGCCCTAATAAAATCGCCGAAAAAGCAGCATACACCAAAAATCTCACCAACCCCTTTTCCGACCACGAGTTTTTAACAACAACCGTCAATTTTAGTAAAACTAGGAGAGGACCAGGGTACTGGAAATTAAATTGCTCGAAATAGAAGTGTATTGGCAAAAAATTAAACTCTTAATTTGAGATTGGCAAACAAAAAAACGGTCCTATAAGTCATCTTTAAAATCGTGAGACGACTGCAAACTTATTGTTAGGTTTGAATTACAACATATATCGATACAGAAAAGTGCGAAAAACAAAAAACACCTCAAAAGGATTGAAAACCAAATCCAACGGGAGCGACAAAACGCCAACCCGAATTTAGATAACATCAAAGAAAAACGTGATGCTCTTTTCTTGCTCCAGTTTCCAGGAGCTTTTATTCGCACGAAACAAAAATTAATAGAAGAAGAAGAAGACAAAACCTTCAAAATTTTTGTATAATTTGGAAAAAGTTCAACAGCGGAGCAAGTTAATTACCAAAATTTGCAAGAATGACGGCACATTGACGAGTGAAATACTTTTTGTAGAAAAAAATACCAGCTACTCTATGAAAAAAGCAATAATTTCACTGATTCCCAAACAAGGAGATCTTACTGAATGCAAAAGTTGGAGGCCCATATCCTTAATCGGCGCTGATTACAAAATAATTACAAAAGCGCTGGCCCTAAGATTTGCAAAAGTAATGGAGAAATTATAGAATCAAACCAAACTTGCGGAATTCTAGATAGAACAATTTTTTCAAATTTACATTTAGTCCGTGATCTGATAGATTACGCAGAATTTAAAAATCTACCTAGTTTCATTTTGTCAATAGATCAAGAAAAGGTTTTTGACAAAGTCGATCGTGCGTTTCTGCTGCAGGTTCTCCAAAAATTTAATCTCGGAGAAAATTTTGTATCCTTTGCTAACACCTTATATTAAGAAATTTCGGCATCCGTTCTGAATTGCGGTTTCCTGTCAGCCTCTTTCCCTACCGAAAAGGGAGTTAGACAAGGCGAACCCCTCTTATGTTTTTGTCGCCGAAGCTCTAGCTTTGGTAATCAGAACAGACAGCAGAATTGAGGGATTCCCTCTACCAAGAACACCACCACCCCTTAAATTACTGCAGTACGCAGATGATTTGAAGTTTTTTGCAAAGGACATAAAATTAGTCTGCTATTTTTTCGAAACAGTAAATCTAGTTGAAACGGTGAGTGGTTCAGTGATCAATGCGTCAAAAACCAAGGGTCTCGCACTTGGGGGTTTTAATTATAAAATGTACCCAGAATTGGACAACATAGAGTGGACCAATAACACCGGTTTCAAAATTTTAGGTGTTACGTTTTACACAAGACCGAGGGTGGAATGCAAGAAGCAAACTTGAGTCAAGTTCGACTTGAACTTTACTTTGTAAAGGCCGTTTTCCACAAGACGAAAAATTCGCGCGAAGCGAATTTTTTCGTCGTTAAGCATACGCAGATTAAACATTTTTGGCGATTATACTGCTACAGCGTTTCGCTGCAGCGAAAAAAAAGTCGAATTCATTTCGACTTTTTGCGAATCGCCTTAAGCGAAAACCAATAAAATTTTGAATATTATATCACGTGATGTCAACATTAAAAAAAAGCGAAAACATGTTGTTTTTAAGTAACAAAAAACAAAATTCTTAACCTGGTGTTCTTATTAACTTTATATGAATTTACTCTGAATATTGGCAAGCATGAGTAAATTTATCAAACAAGGGGCAAGACTTACATAAAAAAATGACCAGACTTATATATAAAACTAAATCGAAAATTTACAAATATAAATTTTCACATTGTCAATTACGAAAGTTACACTTCATAAGAATCTTCAAGTGGCCACACGAAGATAAACCTTTTTCTGAAAAATTCTTTATAGAGTTAAACCTTCTGTTCATTCTTGCAGTAATAGTTTTTAATAGAAATGTTCATATCAGAGTTTGGCATTTATTTTCTTATACTTTCTTGTAAAAAAAAACCTTATATAAATGATTATATTAGAAAATAATATCACATCTTACATATAAAGACAGAAATGTTAATATTAATGCACGGAAAGAAATTTTCACATGCTTCAAAGTATGCTAAATAAGTATTAACTGCCTTCAGTTAAACATACAGCGTAAACTTATTGCTGCCATTTTTATTGTTGGCAACGAAAAAAAAGTAGCGCGAAAGAAAGTGGAAATCAAAACAACGTTTCGTCGTAGCGAAAATTCGCGCGTCGTCGCGCGAATTTTTCGTCTTGTGGAAAACGGCCTTAACCAATAGCGGCAGAGTTTTTTATAGGGGAAATCCCATACTCTGTCGCTATTGGTTGCAATGTAAAGTTCAAGTCGAGCTTGACTCAAGTTCGCTTCTTGCATACCACCCTGAATAATACAACAAATTTCAACTGGCTAGTAACTCTAAACAAAATAGGGAAAAAACAAGTTTCTGCGACTACGTACTTTGTCATTTAGGGGAAAGACTATGTTGATAAATACGTTAACAATGCCAAAATTGTGGTTTCTGGCACACGTGCTGCCCTTTCCCGAATAGATAGATTTGATTTTAGATCAAGTTTGAATACCACCAAGGCGTAATTATTGGATAATTATTATTTTCATAAACCCGACCGTGTAATTGTAGTAGTCCGTGTAAGAACTGAACAAGTAAGTATTTAGATAGATGAAAAAAAAGATGTTGATACGACTAGATTTATTTATGTGGTAAGCTTATTTTATACTAGAATGGTGCTTATATATTTTATTAAACGTATTTTAAATTATGATCATATCTAAATAAGTACTAATTGACTAATGTTATGTAATTTTGTGCTGGTGTTTACTTGTAACTTAATATTGAATTTTATAAAC